TTTTTTTTTTTAGTGGCGGAAATGGGCTTCCATAGATTTCAGATCAATGACATTTCAATTGAATTTAAACCTGGACTTTCCCCCCCCTTACCCTCAATCTTTTATGTTTGTGCAGTTCTTTGGTGGATTATTTTAAGCATTATATGATTTTAAACATATAGTTAAATCACTGACCCCAAGCTTTCTAGTCCCGTAGGCAACAACTTTACTTTAAACTTTGTTTACTTTAAACACACTGACCTCTCACTCTATATATACAGCACATAGCTTACATATCAGTTTATAGCTGTTTCTTTATTTTAGTTAATTTGGCAGAAGCCAGCTCTTATTATTTAGTGCTGGGCTTATTAGTGTCAGAGTGGTGACACAGAAAGATGGAGGACTGGGTGGATTCTGTTTGATTCACCTGGGAAATAATACATTATATTAAACTACCTTTCTGTTCCTTCAGGAGGCTTGCCGAGAGATGTGCAGCGCATCACAGACAATATTACCAGGCTGAGTAAAGGACTTGAACACAGATTGAGGCAGACACAGTATGCAGGGTAACAGTGATGTATGGTAGTCGTAAAACATCTGTCAGATATATAGTGTTATTGCTTGTCTTTGAAAATTACTCTGCTAACTGTTCTGATTTGTGGCCCCATATCCAGGAATATCTGTAACTTTGTTAACTGTGAAATAATGCACCCAGTAATATACTGAAACGCATGCCAGCAGAGCAAACACACCCAAAGACGATTTAAAACTAGGTAATTGTCTTCTAATAGGAACATCTGTCTCTATTCATTCTTTATCTGACTGCTTCAGGCTTTTCTTTGTTCCTCCTTTTTTTTCTCCTCCATCCATTAGTTTTCTTTATGTCGCCCTCCTGTCATCTGTATCTGTGTCTGATCAGACCCCGTTGTCAGGAAACTCACTCAAAAGGAGCTTTCCTTGTGAATACAATGTCCCAAGGGATATTTCATACTTCTTTTGCAAAGATATGTGCCACTGCATTTTTTTCTTCCCTGATCACTTAATTAGCTTGCAGTAAGATACAAAAAATTATTTAAATGCTTCACTCATAAATCAGTGAGTATGTATTGTTGGTCTTGGCACTTAGGGGATTTAGAGACTCGATGTAATAACCCAAATGTTTTTGGAATTTTCTGCAAGTTTTATGAATTTACATATGCAGATGGTAGCAAATTAAAGGCAAAAGGCAGAATTAAATGGCAGACAAACATGATGAGTGCAAATGATTGAATGATCATGAAAGTTATGGTAATTACAGGCTATTGCTTTTTTGAGTCACCAGATCTCAAGCCAGCTGAACAGCAACAGGAGGCACATTTGCACACTTTTTTCTTTAAATCAGAAAGCATGTCCTCACAAAAGCCCAAGTTGGAGGGAAGTTTTTGTTTCTGTTACACTACATCATGGGTTATTCTTTAATTTACCATGTTAGTTAACTGATTGTTAAGCTTGTTGTGAGCTGGCTGTGCATATGTTTACCTTTTAGTGTTCTTGATTGTGCTCTTGTCAATTTGTGAGTGTGCTTGTGTATTTATTTGTTTTGTAGTTTCACAGGCACACTGAGGAAATAAATAATACGGTACACATGATCCACTGGTGGTCTGTTTCAGAAACTCATGATCTCCTGGGATTTTTCCACACAACCATCTCTAGAGGTTACAGAGAATGGTATGAAATAGAGAAAATATCTAAACAAAAACGCCAAATGAAATGACCAAACTGACTGCTCATCCGGTCGGCTAAGAACAGAACACTAATGCTACATTTTGCACAGGCTCATTAAATTAGATGGTGGGAAATTGGAAAAATTGTCACTGGTCAAATGAGTCTCGATTTTTGCTGCAGCATTTGTATATTAGGGTCTTAGGAATTTGGTATGAACAACATGAAAGCATAGATCCACCCATCTTGTATCAATTGTTCAGGCTGTTGGTGTTGATAGACTGCTTTCAATAACACATCATGTCACAAAGCTCATCGTTACTGGTTTTTATGACAACAACAATGAGTTCAGTGTACTCACATGGCCTCCACAGTCACCAAATCTGAAACCAATGCAGTACTTTTGGTACGTCCTGGACTCAGACATTCACATAACGGACCAAAATACTTGAGGATCTTGTGGAATCAGTGCCACAGAGGCAGTCCTGAAGGGAGGGGGTCCAACCCCTACTAACAAGTTGTACATAACAAAGAGGCCAGTGAATGTATTTTAACATGCAGTGTCATACTGTCCTTCGAAAATTACAGTTCTTAGACTTGAAACATGGTGTCTTAACATGAAAATATGAAGGAACAGGCATTCATGACTCTTCCACCAACTGATATGTCAGATATATTTTTCATGGCTGCTTAGCATAGGCATCCTTTTTGTACTTTGATTTGCCTTCTTGATTTTCCATGTCACTGCTAGACCAGACTGGCTCTCACAGAAACGAGCATAAACAATTTCACCACAACAGACCAACAGTTTAACATTATATTGTCACTGAAAACTCAGCTCCCATTTGTAGCTTTTATTCATATTCTTCAGATTGATCCTACACAAGGTTCTTCAGGATCTGTGGACCTATCAATATGAAAGCATCAGTACGCATATATAGAAAGTCTCGGGTCTCTAGGGTTGTGGAAAAAGTTGAACATTATCAACCTTAATCTTTCTGAATAATCTGTAGTCTCAATCTGTAGCAGGGGTGTGGTCTCTGGCTCCGCTGCTGTGGAGGGGTGGTGCAGTGGGCTCGAGGGTCAGTGCCATTGTGGTTGGCAGGGCAGCTGCTGCCACTCAGTAATCAGTTTCTCCCTATTTCAGTGATGCAGGGGCTCGAGAGGGGAGCTGAGTCTGGAGTGGAGAAGCAGCTGAAAAGCTGAGCTCCCACCTGAGGCTGCGCGGGGTCCATTCATTTCACACAATGCAACTCAAGATTCTCTTCTGTCTTCTTTTTTTCCAGGAGCGCCTACTGGCCCATATTTAAAAGAAGATAACTCCCATTGGCAGCTTCATGCTCACTACTACCCACCTCTGCTGCGTTCAGCAACAGTTAAGAAGTTTATGGTGGGTTATGAGATGCTTGCCCAGGAGCAAAGAGATCTCACCCCTGAACAGGTGATACATTTATGCACATGCATTCATACTGAGCAGAGAACATGAACTTTTGATTTTTCTCATCTCCATTGAGCTACAGTCAAATGTCATAGTAACTATTTTTTACTCAAAGCTTCCTATAGTGAGTATCTACTGCAAGGAGAAGCTCAGCATCATAAACTGAATGATATTCAATTAAAAGTCAAAGTTGTGACTGTTAATATGGGACTGACACCTTAATTTTTGATTTACAAATGTTTACAAATATTAATTTTGGAGATAAAAAAGCTGATGTCTTTAAATCAAAAGAAGAAAAAACATGAGTACAGGATTCCACTGATTCATGCTGTTGCTTTGAAAATGCATAGAGCTCCATAAAATCGCATAAAAACTATGTCAAACTGCATAATAACTTTGTGTTTGTTGCCCTAGGCTGCCGAGAAGCTAAGAAACCTGCCAGAAGAGCACTATAAAACCAGATAGATCCATGAAAACCAGAGCAAGAAAGGCACTGAATTGTAAAAAACTGTGTGAAGGTTGGAAGAGGTGTATTTAAAAGATTTGTTATTTTAAAAAAACAAAAGGCATTTGCAAGAGACAAAAACCCCGTCTCAGAGTTACATGTTTAAGTACCATTTCCGACACAGGGCCGAAAGCTTTTTCTACATGCACCGATCAAAGGAATATGCGAATATTTTCTATTTTCAGTACACATGCACAAAATTTGGTACTGGATTTCTGACTGTAATAAAGGACTTTAAATAAAATGTGTGTGAAACCTCTCCAAACAGTATTCTCCCCTTCCTCACATCCCTTCTGTTAAATACTTACAAACATTTGTTTGGTTATATTGGAAAGTGTTCAGCCACAAAGGCATTTCCTCAACAAAAACACAGTGTTTTGTTAGTAGTATTGAAAAACTGGGCTAGGTCTAAGACTATGCTACTCTTATTTTCATTATAATTATAATTATTTTTTTCTTTTTTCTTTTTTAAATCATAACGTCTTAACATTCAACACTGAAAAGTTATCCTTTTTTCTGATACTAAATCTATGGTCAGTGGTGATGTGGGACAAATTTCCATTGAGCTATTAGAGGACTCGTGAAATAAAATGTTCTACCTGCTACTGAATGAAACACAACAGTAAGTACTGTACTCTTCACATGTTAAATGAGGTGTGCTCTCACTATGATAACAGTAGATGGTACTGTTGTTTAAAAAGTAAGGGGGGTGATTTGGTTTAGGCTGAGACTTTGACAAGGCTTTAGTTAAAAACCATTACCTTCCCAGTCTCTTTTTCTGGTTTTGATGTAGCCAAAACCTTTACAGTAGTGAACATTGCCATTCTCCTTAGAGAATTTATCAACAGTGAGTATGACTTTGCTAAAGTCCTTCTTTGATCCCATTTTATTATTAATGATTGATTGAAAATGGGGGCTGTAGGTCTTTTTCAGTTGTGGAGAAGAATGAATGGCACAGTGTGTAGCTACAGAACATTAGAGCAGGGTATTTGTATTCATACCATAGTGCTGCACACGATAATTCCCATTGCAGACATTCATTATTCAGCTTCTTAAAAAATTACTGCAGTGTCACAACGGGACTTGCTCATCTTTACTTCCTAAACACGTTTCTTTTTATTGGGATAATCAGCGTTGCCTTAAAACAGAGCCAAATAGCTGATAATTAGCAGAAAACCACACAAATTGCCACATGCTGTGTTCTGGGGAAAGCGTTGTTTCATGATCATGCCGCGTTCCCCCTTCATTATGCAGTAAGCAAGCGGAGTTTGTCTGTGCCTGCAAATCCACAAGAGGTTGAACCCAACAGTGTCAGAAAGCATTGCCGGTACTCATAGGAGTTAAAATAATTGTTTTTCCCTAGTAAATGTAAATCTTTTTAGGTGTTATCTGGTGCTTAGAACTGATTAGATATTAAACTAGTGCGGTGGAAAATCAGTATATTTTAATTAAGATATTTAGCATCATAGATAAAACAATTCTTTATCTGTTTAAAGTCACTTTAGCAAATGTATCAGTTTCACTAAAACTTAGCATGCAATCATGTTGTATTCCTCGACAGCAACTATGAAAATCCAACAGCATGAAACTGTAACAGCATGAAAATCAGGGAAAAATATGGTTTGACAGAATGAATCTTTCAAAGCAAGACAAAAGGGGTCATACTTGCTTAACAAGTTGCACAAACATTTAAAACCTGCAGAAGCACAGCAAACTGCAACACATGGTGGATCGCTGTTTTCCTTTGTTTTTTAAGCTCCTCAAACTCATTTACTTTAATTAGAATGTACCATGTACCTAGGTGAGCACACGTTGTACTAAACACATAGGGGGACATTAGCCAAGAGTTCTCAAAGCCTGCTGGAATCCAAATTTGGCTACAGAAACACAAACATACACTTTAAAGCATCAACACAGGAGTAAATAAACTTGCTTCAAAACAGTTTTCCTTCCTTCCCCCACTTGTCAGCAGTCAACAAGTGACTTCCTGTCACTTGCTGCTAAGAAAAACTGATGATGTGCAACTGTTTTCATCATGGCTGAGTGAAGCAAAAGCAAATATCATCACACATTACCAGAGTGGTACCTTTAAGGACATCATAACCTGTTAATGTTATGTTAATGAGTTACTTATCTCCTTTTCCACACACCGTGCAGCATTTTTGTCTGTAGGCTGGCAGCCGGAATATGCTGTTGCATTTAAGAGGAAACATCAAACATGAATCCAGCAATGTCAGTGTCAATTAGATAAAATAAAATCATCTTTCCATCAGCTTTTCTTTCCATCCATACAGCAGCTACTTCCCCCTCAATCAAGCATAGAAGTGGATTTCAGGCATGCACAAAAACATTGGCTATATTTGCACACGCAATGTCAAATAAGCAATATCAGCTACAGACACACATCACTTTCATTATTTGTACTGCTTCCACTCAACCTCAGCTTCAGTTTTTCTATAAATATTAATGTCGATTCCAGGTTTTCTTAAATTTTATGGTTGAGCAGTAGAGATGTAGGTGTAGTTTATAAACAGAGAGGTTCTTTGGAGTCATGGTTGCTGGTGAGCTTGTGTGTGAGTGTATAACCCTTTTTATGTACTGTGACAGATCTCATTCATTCAGGTCAATATTTATCCAGTCCTCCAGGCTCACCATGGATCCCCTTCTCATCTCTTTCATCACTCCTTTGAGACTCTCTGAGTGTGTGTGTGTGTGTGTGTGTGTGTTTGTTGACAATATATATTTTCTATCTCCACACACAAAGAGGAGTCTGTGTTTGTGTCTTACCCTTGTGAATCTCCTTACTGGCAGAGGAAAGAGGATAGGTTGGCTTCTGTGCCAAATTGTTGTCGCTTGTCTTTTGCAGGCGTTCTGGTAGAGAATTGTTCTCCCAGTGCTAGCTATTGATGCCAAACGAAATCTGGTTAGTAGGCTGTAATTTGCATGGCCCTGTTGTATCAACATTTTTGTGTGTTTTTAAAAAATTAAGCAGTAGGCAAAATAATTATTGATTAAAAGACTGGATGTGATATCAGGAAGATGTGCATGACTTCCCAGTAGAATACAGTGAAACGGCATTCATAGTTTACACAGAACTGTGTTGATTTGGTTTAAGGTTCAAGGTTCTTTATTCGTCACATGCATGTCAAGTTTGTGATGCTTGCAGTCAATCGGGTGCATGTCTTTACCAGATTTTTAGGAAAATTACAAAAATGTCAAGCCGTTAGCAGTAAAGTGGTCACCAACTCAACAAAATTCATCTCATGGAAATAAAAAATGTGTGTGCAACTGGTCACAGGTTGATAGTCCAACAAAAAGAGCTTGTGAACAGATCCAGCTATCATATTTGGCATTCTAATGTGATCCCGCTTTCCTTTGGCTAAAGCACCAGTCAATTTAGGATGCAAATTCAGGTTGGCAAAAGAGTTTATTTCAAAAGATTTTATTGAAGAATTTGGAACCCACTCCCCACTCATCTGCTGGCTGACCAGAGAGAGTGAAATAAATCCAGACATCGCTAACAGCTCAGCAGACTCCAATTAGAGGGCAGCGTGAGCAGGTCTCTCACCTGCTAATCTGTCACCTCACTGGGTGCTGTAGATCCTGAGATGAAACAGAAGAAGGGGATGCAGGGGGATAGAAAGGTAAGGAGGAGAGCACACACACACAAAACATATGAAGGATGAGGAGGAGGTTGTGGCAACAGTTTCTGAGGACACCGCAGAGTTACTTAATTAGATTTTGAAAAAATAAAACTAAAAATTCACTTCCCACAGGCCGCAGCCTAAAAAAAATATCACAATTTCAATTTATTGTTACATAAGGTTGTTCATTTTTATTGGCTATTGAATTTGATTTTGTTATATTGCAGGATGTTCCTGCAATTTGTTTCATTTTATAGTCTGAGTCCCTTTTTTTCTTTTATGGGGCTCTGACATGTCACCCTCCCACTCATCTGTGCCTGACCACATCAGCTGTGTTTCCTTTGCACTTAGCTCAGCACAGCTCTGACATATTATTGCCTTATAAATGTGCTTTCATTATAACAAACAGTTTCCTGCATGACCAGCAAACACTGGGATTCATTTGGAGTGATGTTTCTGCAAGCAGTTTCTACGTTCCTGTGGGATGCTTGTTGCTAACATGGTCTCAGCTGGGTTGTGGAGCTCAAGGAGTACAATGTAAAGGTTATTAAACCAAAATGATAGTACTACAGTATGTATCACCACTGATGGGGGGGGGGTCTACACTGTTTTTTGATTCACTGGTAGTTGTATGAGTTGAACTTAAGTCATGTGGAAATTATTTGTTGATGCCTTTGCACAGCTTTTTATTCTTGCGGCTTGTGGCAGCAGCAGCAGCTTGTGGCGTTTCTGACTGACCGTGCAAATTAATTTTGAGAATTAACACCAGTGACACTTGTTAGTTATCCTTTTTTAAAGCTCCTGCAGTGCCAGAGGAGACAAATGATAAAACGTGGTAGTCTTTTGCGCCCATAAACTACAAGAATAAAAGATAAATCTCTCAAAGACAAAATGGACTTTGGTTTTAGCAGTTTTGACAATCAATCAGAATCAGAATCAGAATACTTTATTAATCCCTGGGGGAAATTATTTTTTGTTACAGTGCTCCATTTTAAACCAACATTAAGACAAGACAGACAATACACTAACTAAGAATAGTACAATATATACATATATACACATACATACTTCACTCATAAATAAATAGTTGGAAAAGAAACATGTGTAGTTGTAGCAGCAAACAGTGTGTTAAGTGGATGCGTTGTACAGGGAGATGGCCACAGGCAGGAATGATTTCCTGTGTCGTTCAGTGGTGCTTTTCGGTAATCTCAGTCTCTCACTGAACGTGCTCCTGTGACTGACCAGCATGTCATGGAGTGGGTGGGAGGTGTTATCCAACATAGTCTTTATCTTGGACAGCATCCGCCTCTCCGACACCACCTTGAGGGTGTCAAGCTCCATCCCCACAACATTACAAAGCTGGGAAAGTGGTCAAACTTGGGCACCTTGGATAAATATGGATCCTCTTTTTCATGCTTTTCATCACTTTGTTGAGTCTTTTGTTGTGCATATTTCTGTATTACAGATGTATTAAAAGGTCGCCCTTACTGCATTACTGAGAAGCTTTTGTTTTAGATAAAGGAAAGTCAAGACATAAGGGACATGTCTGTTAACTGAAAAGGAATTTCTTATAATTACACTTTTCATTGTGTTTTCACCT